ATCTGGATCCATCTTAGTACCAAAATGGCACACGAGTTCGCCTAATAAACTTAACTTCCTGGGACGAAACAACTCTCCGATGATACATTATAGTTCTGTAACTGAAGTGAACTCCTGGTCAAAAGAGAAATCGTGTTAAAATAGTCTCGATACTGTTTACACCTAAATACTTACAACAACGAAGATAACGAAAACCAATAAGGCAATATAATAACAGACATGATCAATGTACTCACATTAATTCCAATCAGCTCCATAGCTAAACTATGCAAAGCGTTCATTTTATCTGAGATGGAAGCACGTCGTCGAAGTTCCCTTTTTATTTTCTTTAGCTAATTTATGTAAACAGAAGAAACACGAAAAAATACAGTTATCAGTTAGATGTCTAGTTAACGGAGTAGGTCAATAATCAAACACTAAGGAACAATAATTTTGAGCACATTGAAAAGTCACCGAACCACCAACCGAACTGCCACCGACGAACAGGAAGATTATCAGTAGATTCAATTTCACCCCAACTAAATTGATTTGGTAAAGCTTACACGTTGTTAAGTGACTCTAAAGTATAGCAGCCCAAAATGAAACTACCTAATAAAGACCTTGACAAATCTCCATCGGCCAATCAGATGCATTCGAAGTAGAAGTGCTTAGTATGAAAAAAATTTATACAAAAGTAATGATCCCAATTTTTTAGGTGACTGTAGAAACTTTCAATGGAATTTGTATGATTCCCATTGAAAGGAATGACGAATGAGTGACCACGTAGGGTATATAACCTACGGATGACAGTTGGCTGCACTACTTGTGAGTAGTGCCTTGATATAATGATTATTAGCAGTAATAATTTGTCCTCGAAATGTATTCATCAGTGAATCTTACTGTATAACAAACACTGTGTGATTTTATCAAAATAAAATTTCATCCATAATGGAATTATGCTCTACCACAGTGCCCACGTTTTATCCTCATATCGATAATGCGTTGTGATTCGATTGTTCACAGGTCGCATCATCGTAGAGTCGTACGTGTTTAATGCTGAAGTGTTTCAAACAACGGTTGAAATAACGATCCAGCGATTTCTACTGGAGCTTTTATTTGTTATTATACATCGATTTATCATACATACATTTACCGAGGTAAGACAAGATAACCAGCTGTTTCCTTTCGGATGCATAAATTCGAAATAAATGGCGATCGTTTCACCGATTCGTAGTAATCAGGAGCTATCTTTAACCTCTTTAATTACCTTGAAGGATTTTAATGCATCGATTCTATGACTGCTGTCTAACAAGTGGCTAACAATCACACTACTAAGGACTTTTGAACCTACTAGACGCAGGTTTCTTGGAATATACTGATTGTAGGATTGAAGACTAGGTTTGTCAGTATGGACGATATAGACAAGAGTGTAGATGGCACGTTCTATTCAGTCTTTCTTATTACAGTAGGCTTAGATTCACAAATTCTAACTATTTATTTAATCTGTCTCCACTGTCTTTGTGACACTCACTGTGCAAAATGTGTAAATCTCTTCCTTTCATGCCTACTAAACTTGTTTTGAAACACTTACCATCAACAAATTACTTCCGAACTGTATCAGCTATTCAACTTACTTAAAGGCTAATCAGTGAACAAAGAATTTTCATTTCAATAATTTCGTCAAGTTCCTTCTCGGGGCTTGTCAGGTGGATATATCGTTCCCCAGTAAGTGATGATTTTTCTACTGAAATTCGAATCTACCACCCACTGCCTCAAATACACCAAAGTGATATTCACTAGGTTAATGAACCATGAGAGCCGCTATTTGTGTAATTTCTCCCTCTTATTCCAAGAATGAATCAGTAAAAATTGTCGACTAGTGGTTGATTTACAATAAACCAAGACAGTTAATTGATTTATTGTACTCGGTGGGAACTAACCATTCTAGAATCGACCTTGTGCACAGAAGCGAATTCGCAAACTAGGAAGATGTGTAGAGTGTGGAACAATGTGACTGTAGAGTTTTTTTGGTAGAGATTAAAAATGGAGACATTGTACACAACTTTTGTTTAAAACGGTTCATTGTAAAATATACATAACTTTGGAGTGCGATCTAAAACAGAGTGTGCTTCTCGACGCTTCGTCTTCTCACTGGTCCATTCTGTCTACCTGCTTCACTGCTAACAGTGTTGTATCCTCAGATTTCGCCGGAACCTCTCACCCTCATCTGAGGACTATTATACAGCCGATGTCCAACTTCTACTAGTAGAGACGTCTCCACCACCAGTGAGCACTTCGGTGGATTATATTAATAATTTGTAGCAGCGGACTTTAACTGTATGACCAAGTAACCATTAATTTGTATAACTCGATGACTGTATTTTTGATAATATACTGTTACACTATCATATATCACAACAAAACACGTAGATCAGCGAAGAGTCTCTCTTCGGAAGCGAATTCATTTTCTTAGCTGTACAATCGCAAATATATATATGTGGGTTATTTTGTATGTATGTGTACAATAATTTTGTCAAACAAAAATACAATTGATTATAGTTATTTAAACTAAACAGGTGAAGATTGGTAATTGGAGTTACGTAATACAAAATCAGTCAAGAAAATTAGGTTTTAGTGAAATTAGGGTAGTAACAAAGGTAGGTGATGAGTTGTCACAAACAGTTGTTAAAAGAAGTTATGCAATAATAATATGAATATTTTGATGAGTGAGTTTTACTCAGAATGCACATAGGACCAAAGTAGATAATACGAGATTACGTGAGAGTTCTAAATGAATACAGGAATTATAAGCAATTAAAGGAACAGGCAAAGAAACAAAATTAAGTCATCAAAAATTAACAAAGTTGTTACCATGACAGTAGAAGTGGTTTAGTAATTCTCTTTTACATGCACAGCTCCGGTTTTTCTGTATGAATGGCCAGAGCTTCAGCGATACAAAGAAGGCGAAACCGTATTGCCTTTGATAGGTTGTTCTTGACTCTGTAGATTACTTTGAAGCAGGAGGCGTTTGTTGAAATGGAATGATCAGTGTTAACCAGATGTTCAATTATCGCACTCCTTATTGCACCACTATTGCCTTTTCGCAACCATGCTGGATAGTGTTCTTGAATCCTGTTGGACAGGGTGCGCGTCGAACGACCGATGTACCTGGCTCCACAGCAGCAGGTGAACTGATATATGCACAGAGAAGTAGTCAGATGCGTGATCTTGTCCTTGAGGCTTCTGCAGATCAGTGGGCGACTGGAGAACACTATTCTTAGCGTTGCTGCAAAGAATGTTCTTCTCAGAGATGATATGATCCTTCTCTTGAGAATATCGCTTGCCAAGTCTCCCTTGAAATCCAGGTTCATGTAGAGTTTCCTTTTAGAGGCAAGTAGAGTTCCGTTTCTCCGAATTCTTGGTTTGAATTCGATATTCGGTTTGAATAACTATAACCAATTGTATTTTTGTTTGATAAACTTATTGTACACATACATACAAAATAACACATATATATTTGCGATTGTACAGCTAAGAAAATGAATTCGCTTCCGAAGAGAGACTCTTCGCTGATCTACGTGTTTTGTTTTCATTAATGCCAGGATGGGGATTATACATGAATTGACACTATCATTTCATTAAAAATATTATTTCGTTAACTTGGAATTTTATTCTGATATTTGTTCCGTTACGGAGTTCGCAATAAAGTCGCCTACAAATTGATTGTTTACCTGGTTGCACAGTTAAAGACGAAGATGGAGCGTCGAGCAGCACACTGTTTGCTTGCAAATATCTCCGATCCTCTAACTGATTCTGTGTGCTATGATATCCACCAGAGTCATCTAGATTTATTTCTGAATTACTTACAAAATCAGGATTAATATGTACGGGAGTTTATAGCGAGCTTTGCAACAGAATAAATACTGGAATAGTAATCCATGCTATATAGAGATACCGAATTGCAAATAAACATTCCTGCACGAATTCTCTCGTCTTCTACCGCTACACCACTACTGAAACTTCAAGACTCAAGCTGAAAACCCCATATTCCATTAGGAACGCAAATGAGCTAAATAAATAAAAAAATTACATGTGCTACTGTTTAAAGTGTCCCTATAGCAACACAACAACAAGGAACTACACAAGATATGAAACATGTTATGCTACTGATTCCTGCAACCGAATATTATTTTCAGTGATAAACTACAGAGAGTGTGGGAGTTCTCCTCTAGTGATTTACCATACGCTCAATGTTAACTCCAAGAAGTACTACGCTTAGCGTTTAAAAATCACACTTCATACCTAATTATCCCCATGGGTATACCACAGATATATGCACGCCTTCAAATGAGATGCAGATTTTCAACAATTTATTTGTAGGAATTTGATTCAATTTCCAAGTGTGATCACGCATTGATACCAGTTAGTGAACCAGTGAAAACCAGGGAGTACTGGACAGATGTTTCTTCCTAGTGCACGGGAGTCATCGGTATTATGCACCCACCCGACTGGACGAGACGGCAAACACAAAACACCGATGACATTGTCTGATACCAGAGGCGCTAAAATCACAAATTAGCAGAACTTGATATCCACTGGCCACTGGATCGAGTCCCAGCAGCTGAATAGTCTGCGAGTTTGTCTTGTAAGCAGAAGGCCCAGGGTTTGAACTGTCTCTGGTTGGCATGTACCACCCGCGAGTCCCAAAATAGGACGAAAATCTCTCCAGTACTCACTGGCTCTTTTTCAATCGTCCTTCAACTAATATAAATCACTCATCAAACCGGAAAAATCTAGGTAGATTGTTAAACCCAACTCGTTTTCCCTGTTTTGCACCATTCATGTATTAAATTCTTCAAAAAAGTAATAATCCTTCAAGTATTTGAAGGCTCTACTCTAACTCGAAAGTCATTAATTCACATTCAGTCTTCAACTCCGAGGTATACTCCTTCACTTTCAGACATCAACCACTCACACTACATGAAATTGAAAGTACTTAACAATGAATTTCAAAGTAACAACCTGTTTATCTCGAAAAATAATAAGCAAATTAAAATCTTGTTGAATACAATATGTAGTAACAATGAGTAATAAGTAAAGTCTGAAGTGACATCTATTTACTTATGATGTATGGCTTAGTCTTATGTACAGTATGAAAATTGTATGTATATGGCTATGTGGAAAAAGAGGTTTTTGGCGCTAATATGAAAAATAAGGTAAAACTTCAATCTAGTCTAAATATGGTCGCCATATCGCTGGCGATGTTCTTGTTGTTGTTGTTGCTGTTGTTGGTTTAACGATGTCATGGTTAGCATCACAAGAAGCAAAATTAATAGGAGTTGTTGTTGTTGTTGTTTGTACAGAATTCGTGGTAATGGTCTTCACCACTGCGCAACTTTTATTTGAAAATGCATTTTTAATTATCAATTTCGGTATCATATTCTCTTTGTTTTCTTCATCAATCACCAACTGTGTAGACTGAGGACTAGACGATGGACTAAAATTCACAACAGAATATTCTTCTTCAGAAAGTCTATTCGTCACCAATTCATATTCTTGTCTTCGGTTGTCTGCTGTCGCTGTTGCAGTTGCTGTTATAGCTACTTTATACAATGATTTCGTGAATTTATGAAGCTTCTTCGTAGATCGTGATGTTGATGATGAAGACATTGAGGCGGGGGATGACGGAATGTCATTCCTGATAGAAGATGAAGACGTGAGTTTATACAAACGACGGCGCAGTTTCTTAAAACGTGCTTGAAGTTCTATGAAGAAATGAAGAAGGACAGAGAAAGGATAATAAGCATCAAGTCATTCTGTATGACATGTTGAAATGGTAAGTATCAGTAATTACGCCTTACATGACAAGTGGGACAGAGAAGGAAACTCATACCCTACATTTCATCGTCAACGTCAACCACTACTCAATATACAATAACTAAGAACTCAATACAATACAATACAATACAATATGAGATCATTTGAACTAACAGATTTTTAATCAACAAAATCAAAAGTCTCAGCATCATGTACTATATTCCCAATGGCGACCTCTCCTCACTGGTAAGTTATGCATCATAAATGCATTCCATAGTTATACGCTAAACTAATGTCTTTATGAAATCGGTGTGACGAAGTTCGCAGGAGTCATGATAACGTCTCTGAGTTCATTTCTCAGTACGAGGACATCAGTCCTTTCTGCATGTGCAGGTACACCTCTCTGAAACACCACACATTAATTCAAAGCACACGGTTATCGACACTCATCTTACATGCTGACGGTATTCCAAACATGGCGGAAACACTTCAGTCAACTCAAACACATCATATCGATTACTCCATTGGTAGCCACCCAACCAGCCAGCCACTCAGTGTATTCGAAAATATTACAATGCAAACCAAGAGGCCCCTTCAAGTGGTTAGTACTCAAGTCAAAACAATCTCCTATCCCTGATAAAAATATTTTCACGCCATTGAAACACACTTACCGGGTTTATCTTTAGCGATATTAGCAACTAGTTCCAATACGGTGTAACAAAGACTTAACATAACAACCTTCTCAAGTTTTTGACTCTCATCAGGCTGAAACTGTGGAGAGAAAAGCAGAAACAAAGAGGAATTAGTCGGTTATTTTGTTGTTGAAAAGAAGGAGTCAATAATTTTCGGCTCATCTCTGATTGTTTAACTGACTAATCTAATATTCATCTTAGTCAGCTCTGTACTGACCGGTGAGACAGTGAGTACTACAAAGACCGGGAGGGGCACACCTCAGATTTATACTCATAAAACAAAACAAGACTGTGATGAACAGAGGAGGTGACTTCAACGCCAGTCATGTTATTAATTGTTTCAAGCATTTATCAAGTGTCTAAGTTCCTGTGAGAGTATATACAAATGAAATATTACTGGAATTATAACATACATACATGGGTGGAAACAACACCGATGTTCACTGATTCCGAATAAACCTCTCCACCCACCCACCACCTCGAGTTTCTTTTCCCTCTCATTTTTTGACGAAACAAAATGTGAAATCATAATAATTCATGAACAAAAAACAAATCTGAATAGTGGGCGAGAAAATGTAACTAATCTATGACGTCGATATTAGTTGGTTAGTTATCCTCTCAGTTACTAAGAGAAATGCATCTAGGGAGAAACAAACAACTACGATGACAAAAATGAGCAATGAGTGTAATTAATCCAACACTCACTCATCGTCCATCACATCACTGCAACACAGAGGTGGGAAGTGTGAACAGTAATAATAATAATAATAATAATAATGTGTCTAACACACCCATACTCATGTGTGCGTATGTTCAGATTAGCGATAAACTTCAACCGGTGATAATGGTGAGAGATTACTGATGTGTATTTCAGGGGAACACATTTTGCTCTAACGGATGATTCGATACATGTGTAATCATGTGGAATATTATAATACATTTCAGAAGAATTATGTGATAAGATATGAAGAACTGAGGAGTATGAAAACATTGAGAAATTTATTTTCAGTGAGACGGAGAATAAAATTCGAGAGTTATAGAAGGTATACATCACATGTGCTCCGGGCAGGACTGCCGACCGCCAACGTATTCCTAAACCTAGTTTAGTCGGTAGTCAACCGAGTAAGCAGAAAAAAGGTGACGAATGAGGCTAGCCATTCCTCCACCATGAGAGAAAATCACATCATGCTTCCAGAAACTCCAGAGCTCGAGCTTGAAATCTCATGTCCCCAAAGGGAACACAAAAGGAGTGAAAAACCGATTAGCAACACTGGATAACATCCACATCATTAATTCAGTGACTTGACAGTCATCATTCCAACTAAATTCTCAAAGAAACGGTAAAGTTCAATTCGGGATATAAGAATAACTAAAAATACTATACGATATGAAACGCTGCATGCATCAATTTCAGAATAGACGAAAGGTATCACGTCTGTTCGTCCTGTCGTATAAATGACAGGTGTAGGGAAGGTAATTCACATTACACGATGTCCACATCCAACTAATTACAACAACTAAGACTCTTCAAGTCTACGTAGACATTACTCCAACGGGAATAGAATCTAGGACATTTAAGTGACGATACATTCCCACTGGCCATTAAGTCACTGACATGGAATCAAATGTTTTATGAATTCCAGCTCTTGGTGGCCATCTGGATCCATCTTAGTACCCAAATGGCACACGAGTTCGCCTAATAAACTTAACTTCCTGGGACGAAACAACTCTCCGATGATACATTATAGTTCTGTAACTGAAGTGAACTCCTGGTCAAAAGAGAAATCGTGTTAAAATAGTCTCGATACTGTTTACACCTAAATACTTACAACAACGAAGATAACGAAAACCAATAAGGCAATATAATAACAGACATGATCAATGTACTCACATTAATTCCAATCAGCTCCATAGCTAAACTATGCAAAGCGTTCATTTTATCTGAGATGGAAGCACGTCGTCGAAGTTCCCTTTTTATTTTCTTTAGCTAATTTATGTAAACAGAAGAAAAACGAAAAAATACAGTTATCAGTTAGATGTCTAGTTAACGGAGTAGGTCAATAATCAAACACTAAGGAACAATAATTTTGAGCACATTGAAAAGTCACCGAACCACCAACCGAACTGCCACCGACGAACAGGAAGATTATCAGTAGATTCAATTTCACCCCAACTAAATTGATTTGGTAAAGCTTACACGTTGTTAAGTGACTCTAAAGTATAGCAGCCCAAAATGAAACTACCTAATAAAGACCTTGACAAATCTCCATCGGCCAATCAGATGCATTCGAAGTAGAAGTGCTTAGTATGAAAAAAATTTATACAAAAGTAATGATCCCAATTTTTTAGGTGACTGTAGAAACTTTCAATGGAATTTGTATGATTCCCATTGAAAGGAATGACGAATGAGTGACCACGTAGGGTATATAACCTACGGATGACAGTTGGCTGCACTACTTCCACTACTCTCTTCCAATCAGCCTGTTGTTTGAGCAGTACTTAAATAATAAGTAGATGTGGTTGAAATTCGACACCGAATTCGTGTATACCATCCACAATTGCCTCCACATATACCACTGACTTATCTGACTGCTTGCCTTTCAAAGTAATATTGATTCATTCTCTGAGGCGGTTTCCTTTTTCGGCTGATATAGTTTAGAAGTCACCCACCCACCCAGTGGTATACATGCTGAATAACCAGTTTGCCTTCGTACAACACGGTCATATCAAAATATTCAAATTTAATTTTCTCTCTTAATTAACCTGTTGACATGATAATGCACAATCAATCAATTCTGCTTGAAAAGTCAATACACTGTAGTATTACGCTGTATTTTATATCATATAGACTTATCATCTCATGTGGACTCAGTTTAGTTAGACACATATTAATTAATTCGGGTTAATATAACTTCCTCTTCCTCCACCCACTCAAGTGACTCATGCAATAACAACAACATACTATGGCTGCCATACTCATAGACCGAAATTCTTCTCACTCGATTTGATTCGATCTGATTTGTTTTTAAAAATGTGTGACTCATACTTCGCTTGTATAGGTGACAGTAAGAAAAAAGCATGTTGCTCAGTCACTCAAAATGCCAGAGTATTGATTACACAGTCAACTAGTGTATTTGGACATATTGATTTTAATGCATTCGAGCATTTGACCAGTAACCAACCTAGTGACAACACTTCTCACAACACTGTCACTTAAAACATATTGGTCAATATCCTTGTTGTTATAATAATAATAATTATTATTATTATTAGTATGTTGACTCATCTCGGAAAATTAGTCGCCTATATGTAGTACAAATAATTAAAAAAATTAAATAAACAACAACTGACTAGCAACTAACAAGATATCAGTCAGTCAGTCAGTCAGTCACACTATTCGCTTGTTACTACTCTATAAATATATATAGATAATATTAGTAAAGGGATACCATTGATGTGTGAAATGTAAGTCACTCGATGACACTACTACTACTACTACTACTACTGAAAAGCATATAGACATTAGATCAATAAATCAATGACATCTACTGCTAATTGATTGATTAGTTTAGAAATTTATATATAATACGACTTATCCTCCGTAAAACCTCAGTGTATTCTCTAGTAAGCGATCTCTACCTCGAACAGTTGACCAACCAATTTCAGTTCGTTACAGCGAAATAAACTGGTCTATCCTCACCTCACATTCATACCACACCGGAACACCTAAGACAACATAACAGGAGAGTTCAAAAGACATGGAAGGAAGAACTACATCGCTATGCAGTACTTGTTCATCCATCGAGTCATGCATTCCTAGAAACGACTCCCAATATATTGTCATTTCTCTGCTCTCAGTCGACTCGGTCAAGAAGCAATTAGACATGGTTGGATAGTTATTAGGAAAGGATTAAAAAGGTCTGAAGCCATCTGTCGTGAACCACAAGTCCCAGTCTCTTCGACCACCATGTATACGATTATTACATAGGCCTGTGACAAATCTCCAGTTAATCACTGAATAACGTCTGTGTGTTGGTGACATACTAAATCAACATGTGGCGCCCCTTTGAAAGCTAACCACATTTACAGTCACGCACACCTTCTGTCCTGGGTTCGCATAACCAATTCCACGATATCGAATATTTGGCTGTCGTGAATAAGCAGTGAACTAATTATCATTACCAAACCGTATATACATGGGAAACTCAGTAGGACAACCCGTCTTCTCTGAGGGGATTGGGATTCTGCAGTAGGTCAAAGCATCAAATCAATATCGATAGAAATCTCTTCAAAATTTCGTCCCTTGTATTACTCACTCATTCATTCATTCATTCGGATTAGTTCTATGTCAGTGGGAAGGTACGTCAGAGTGGTTGGCACAGTTTGACTTTGTCCATCACACTTCTGAGTGTCATTGGACTGCAACGACTTCGGACAGTGCAACTAAGCCATTATTCGTAGCATTCAGAATGTCCAGCCAGATAGATAGCAAGCAATCTAGCCCATCAATTCAAATATTCCATATAATTAGGTCTGTATAGCCTAACAAGATAGAGTGACGCGTTGTACCGGACTCGTCAGCGAAACACGTCGTCCGGGATTCCACTCTCGAACGAGAGCCTCCCAAACCTCCCATCTCTGAACCAGTAGTAAAACTGAAAAAAAACTGAAATGCACGTGGGGCCAAAGTCGCAGTCACCTTGAACTACCAACCGATCACAATCCAGACAAACAATCACAATCACATAAACAACTTTGAAAAATGCACCAAAAATGCACATTGAAAACATGACATCACACCGTATGATTGTCGCTTATGAGTGTCGCTTGAGAATGTCTCTCAGTTATTATACAGATGATCTGTGGACAAATCACACCATACGCGATAGATAGATGTATTCACTTCGGGGGTGGGGGACTGCAGGTCATGGTAATTTGAGATCCACTCACTGTCCCTTAACCCACTCCTAACTCTAACCACAATCCTAACCTTAAGCTCATTTGTAACCTCACTCAACCCCACACCCTAAACATTAAGCTAAAAGTATAGATTTGGAGAGGAAGCACCTGGAGAATAATTAGATTATTGTATCTACCCTCACCAAATCCAAAAGCGGGTATCTTTGGATTTGAAAGGACATTTCACAGAGTTCCCTGGGACTCACTGCTTCTCGAAGGCCAACTTCTCGTAGACTTCTTTCACTTTGGCTATGATGCCTCAGCTTCGCCGGAGCTGGGTATCAGACTAGAAAACCCAACCCCATACAAACACTACAAGCACTACTGGAACTTCAAAGCCTAGTGCTTCAAGTATCTCTCCCACTTACGAACCGAACAAATAAACTGCCTAATGCAACATAATCATCAATGTAAAACAACACACCATATATGTTGAACAGTACAAATTCAAAAAAGCAATTTCCATAAATTTATACGAGAGATGAACTTACTCGACGTATTTCTTCTTCTCTAATCTCCACTGGTACAGTCGACGGTCTACCTCTGTTTGAAGGCATTTCATCATTTTGTGAAGTTGAAGGTCCAACTACATGAGATCCTGATAATAGATTCTCTGATGTAATCCCACTTGATGAAGCATAAACAGATACAGGTGGTACAGGTGCACCGTCCCCAGGACATGTGGTTATTGGGAAATGATGGTACATTATCACAACAACTAGCACCAAGAGAGAATGTGTAATCAACTCTGGATCAGGTTCACTTTCATTTATATTCACATTCGTGTGTTTATTGATTAACCAATGACAGTAGAGTATTTGTGTAAAACAAGGATGCAATAATTCACGTGGGAGGAAATTCAGCCAATCAAAATAATTGTCTTGCTTTCTACCAACCAGGTGATTGACTTGAAAGACTCTTTACAAAAGCTGTCATATATTGTTGTCACTTTAATATAATTGGTGGAAGATATAATCTATTGGATTGGACTGAATATTTTCATAGTGTTGTTGATGATATATATAATTTTACTAAAATAGTTGATTAGTAATAAGGAGAGAGAAGCAGGATTACTATTTGTTGGGCTTATGGTTGTTGTTGTTGTGTTTTACTTGTCCAGTAGCTTATTGGTTAATTCCTGCATTTGTTCTGAGTTTGATCTGCTCAGAGAGCATCATCATATTGTAATGCAGGGACAGTGGGATGACGAGTCCCAAATGGGAGGAAAGCACTCTCTCTGAGTATTATTACCAGTATCCCCTCTCTCCTCAGAGACATAATATCAAAGATTACTATTCCTCATTGAAAATCCGGTGACAGAAATATGTGTGAAGGGTTTCGCTTAGTGTCTGAAATCCGTTATTGTTTAGTCGTCAAATCGGGTGATTTTGTGTATACACAATGATATATTTAGTCTGACTCATGTAAAAACAATACTATACTAGTAGAGAAGTCGAGGACATTGGTTGACATTGGTTGGACACTGAGCCTCCCCCCGCTGATAGGATCCCACACACTTTGTTATTGTTCAATTATCTTAACGACTGTTAATCTCGCATAAGTGGTATATCATCAATTCTCACGCACTTTGTTATTGACTATTACGACCAATTATTTCAAATACTGTTAGCTGTCTGTATTGGTTGTAAAAATGTATAAATACCATTTCCTAAATAAGCTTCTTGGTCGTAGTTTGTCGTAGTTGTTGTACTACAATATACAGTGACAGACCAGACTTTGTCTTTTGATATTTGTGTGGTTCGCTGAATCGGAAGGTACCAGAAGCAGATAGGCATATTAGTCAGGCGCAGACAGAACAAGGCGACAACGTCCTCATTTAATTCCGCTACAGTTATAACACCCGCCATCCAGCACACACCCGAATGGGACATAGACACTGGCCCGCCGTCTGTAAGTGAGGTCACCAAAGCTATCCGTACTTCGAAACGAGGCAAAGCGGCGGGACCCGACGGAATTATTCCGGAGGTGTTCAAATATGGGGGTGACATACTAGTATGTAGTTGAACTAAGGTACTAGGTAACGTCTGGGAATCAGAGACGGTTCCATCAGATTGGGGTAAGTCACTTATTATACCAATTTTCAAGAAGGGAGATAAGTCCTCATGTGATAATCATAGAGGAATCAGCCTGACGAACATAGTCTCTAAAATCCTAGGCTCAGTAATCATGCACAGACTAAGCCGAACTCGAGAGGAACAAACGAGGGAAAATCAAGCGGGCTTTAGGCCAGGTAGAGGGTGCATAGATCATATCTTCACTCTCCGACAGATCCTAGAACATAGACACACTTTTAGGCGTCCAACAATTGCCATATTTCTTGACTTGAAGGCGACCTTCGACTCCGTGGATCGAGAGGTACCATGTCAATGTTTGACTGTGAAGGGAGTGCCAAGAAAGTACATTGCACTAATCAAGGCACTCTACTCAAACTCACGTAGCTGTGTAAGGGCTTATGGGGAATTGTCGTCTGAATTCATAACAACCAGTGGTGTCCGTCAAGGATGTCCACTTTCCCCTTTTCTGTTTAACTTCATCATAGATATGCTAATGGAAGTATCCTTAACTGAACTTAACGACTTAGGAATCAACTTGTTACCAGGGAATAGTCTCATGGACTTAGAATATGCAGATGACATAGTCCTGTTAGGGGAGGACGCTGACAAAATGCAGAGTCTTCTGAACACCCTGAGCAGCAATCTTCGTATGTTTGGCATGCGATTCGCCCCTGTAAAATGTAACATGCTGCTACAGGAATGACTGGACTACGTCAACTCTTAGCTTAGTGATAGGGAGTGAAGTGATAGAACATGTTGACCACTTCACCTATTTGGGAAGTTGTATCAGCACCAACGGATCGATTGGTGACGAAATCTCAGCACGGATCCAAAAATCTCGAGCTGCTTTCACTAACTTACACCATCTCTGGCGTAGGCGTGACATCTGGCTATCAACCAAGGGACGTGTGTACTGTTCAGCAGTTCGCCCCGTCCTTCTCTGAAACATGGCCAATACGAGTTGAAGACATGAAAAGGTTGCCTGTTTTCGATCATAGATGTCTACGATCTCTTTCTCACGTTAGGTTGTATAATAAAGTAAGTAATGTTGACGTTAGGCGTAGAGTGTTGGGCAAAGAGGGAAAATCAATCGAAGAGGCTATAAAGTTACATAGATTAAGATGGCTAGGTCACGTGCTGCGCATGCCTAACCATCGCCTCCCACGACGGGCATTACTAGCTGATATAGGTGCAGGTTGGAAAAGAGTAAGTGGTGGCCAAACAAAAACATGGCCTCATCAATCCATGAAATCCCTGACAGTTAAACTGAGTCAGTCAGGTAGGGAGATGCAGACTCCTTCCAGGTTGGGGCCCTCGGGACTCTAAGAATCAATGGCTGGAGACAACAATAGGTGACATGGCTCAAAATCGTTGTCAATGGCTTACGCAGATGTATTCAGTCTCTGTAATCTTTCATATTCCTTTCTACCATTACCCATTCTGTTTCACTCTTATACCTGTCAAAACTCTATTGATTCTCTTCACTCATTTTCTTGTCTGCCTTTGTGTGCTCTTTGGAACGTGGCAACTCGAACTGCTGCACTTCGGCGCCAAGTTCTACGTTGAATCCAGACAGACAGACATTGGTTGACTAAGTACTCTGTAAAAATCATTACGACTGTCTCATCCCACCCTAGTACTCATCGACAATGAGTGCGCATCATCCGATGAAAGGTAGAATTCGTAACAGTCAGACACCAAACCCGACTAAAATGTCTTCTTTTTCCAATCACTTCATGAGATTGTAACGTCATTCCTTTTTAGTTTCGTTACTTTATTCATTCCGAGTGGGAAAGAGGGCTTTAAACTGGAGCTTTAAAGTTTTGGTAGTGGTGGTATTTTTGGGAGGGGTGTGATGTTGCTAGCTTCATGACCAGCCTGCACCCGCGATATCGCATTTACTTCTGGCTAGGCGACGTTTAGCTATTCATTGGCCAGGTGTTGAACACGGACCACGTGCATATAACAGTTTTACAGTATTACTTAATTAATTCGTGAGTGACAATGCTCAACTGACGACTGATTTCAAATGTACACAGTTTTATTGATTATTTGTAATCGATGCAAATACAGAAGTTGATATTGGATATAAGTATCGATGGCTGATAAGTGAAGGATGATCAAGGTATATCAGGTGAGTGTGGAGAGGTGAAATCCGAAAGATATATAAAAAATGAAGGGATATGTGTGGCAGAATGAGTAGTTATGTGGAGAATAATGAGGATTGCAAAGAGTGAATGCATGTGCGCAAATGAAAACGAATTCAACCGATATCATCAACAACCTGAAGCCATTAGTGCCTAAAGTCTCAACTAACCCAGATGGGTAGTCTGCATCTCCACACATGGATCAAACCAACAGTCTACAATAGAAACTACTGAAAGACTCGGGAATCGAATTAAATATTTCTTGATGATCAGCGTTTCTTTAGACGGTACGAGACCCTGTGATAAAAACAACTTCAATGCTTCCAGTGAACTTCATTGTCGACTAGAGCGCCATTGAAAATCAAGAAGCATTAGACAGCTGAAGAACCCCACTGAGGAGGTTTGAGGCAGAAGAAAACAGCTGTCCTGTCCTACTTAATTTCCAACGGTTTGTCAACTGACATCTATCCATGACCAGATCGAATACCTACAAACAGGAAGTGGTACACTAAATAAACAAATTAACATATCGGTATTGCTTATAATAAAATGAAAACTAGTATATTCCTTTCCCATGGTGGATAGTTGACAATTCCCTTTCTTTGTGGGTGGGAATGGAGGTGGATTTTCAGCCATTTCACCTACTCACACATGTAAGGATTGACGTTCAATTAACTAAACACATCATTGTATTTCATTCCACCTCGGAGAATTTCACTGAATGCATTCTGTCTTTCTTGGTGAATAATTCAAGCATGTCTTAGATATTAAAAGGTGTCACAGCCATTCAATTCAGAGAATTGAGAGATCAATCGTCGCCTTGAGTGAATGAGATCAAACAGATCATATCAAACTATCCACATTCCAGTTAACTACTACAGCACACTGGTTCTTGAACTTTTCAATATGATAACTGATTCATAGTGTGAGACAGAATACACAGCGCGTCTGTAGTTCAATGACAGAATGCACACCAACCATGTAAGTAATCCGGGTTCAATTCCCCAACAAGGCACTCTGAAATCTCCTTTAATCTATCAACTCCTCTCCCAACTCGGAACTCAGAAGGACATAAAAAAGAAGACGAAGGATATTTATTTTCTTTCAAGTATGACAGTCTGAGGTTGACAGATACCTGTTTGATCGGTTCTTCTAAAAATTAAATTATTCCGAATAAAGCAAGAAGAAGAAGAGTGGTTTGTGCAGAATAATATCGTACCATCATTTAATTCGTCAGCTTCTCATCAGTTACTGCTTACAGACTAATTATGTATTTGTACAGAACAGTTCTAGCATACTTGAAAATTTTTTACATTTGATGTCAGTTGACAGGAGATTCCGAACTTGGTGAACAGTACTCAGAAAATTTCGCTTATTTAGTTCAAACGAATTTCTTTGATTTGAGTTGAACTCAGTATATTCTTACTTAATGTATTAGTCACTCATTATCTTAAACATTTCTCGTTTATATTACGTAACTCCTTTCCATATTATGC